TAGGGCTTGAAGAATATCTTTAATAAAAGGCCTCCACTCGTAGGAGTTTTGCATTCATGAAATATATTATTTTTACTTGTTAACAACTATCTCGATGATGGGATTTACTTGTTAAACTTGCGATGGTGAGTTTCCCTAGTAATTCCCTAGGTGAGAGGATATTCCTAAATCCCAATCTTATGATAGGCGAATTCGAGAAATATCCTCAATAAAAAGTTTTGTTTGGCATTACTCAAATTTTTTGCCATGCATTTCATAATTGCATCATGTGCACGATACACTTGTAAAACAAAATAGAATATTTTAATTTGTTAATAGAATAAATGATATATTAAATAAATGATAATTAAGGAAACATAAGAATAAAATTAATGGGTTAGGATAACTTATGATTAAAAGGTACTGTTCGTTGAATGGGAGTCACGAGGGTGCTAATCCTTCCCTATGCATAACCATACTCCCAAACCCAACTTTAAACAAAATAAGTAGACCAATTTGTTATTCTTTAAACGGATCTAAAGTTGATTTAGAACTCTGTTAAATATAACAAATTTAATAGGTGTCCAATCGTACCTAAGTAAAAAAATGGTTGGTGACGACTTCCTAAATTACCCACATCTAGTGATCGGGTTCCCGGATCTACACGTTATGACACAAGGTAGTCACTAATGGTCCATAAAAGTGTTACTCATAGAATAAAATTTTGACGAGTAAAGGCATCATTCATGACCACCCCTTCGTCTCACAGAACTTTTAACTCATTTATCAGAGGTCGGAGGAATACATCAATGTTTTGACTGAAACTTGTCTTCCTTAGGATGACCATACTAAGGAAGATATATGATTGCTTTATGCACATCTATGGATGTAAGTTATAGACAGTGAGCATTACTAACTTAGCATAATAGATTTCGCTGTCAATCTAAATGGACTGAAACTATTTGAACAAAAACTGTGTCTGACACTACGAGGCTCAAAGGCAAAAGACTAATGGGTGCAATTAAAATGTTGTCAATCTTGACCATCAACAAGATGCCTAAGCACTCCATCATTAGATTGGTGCGTGGCATGCCATGTCATGTGTTTTGCAGTTTTGATTGACATATATAGCCTCTACAATCTCGGTGTTATTGGAAAGTATTGTAACATCATATAAAGATTTTTTTTCTCCCTTTGTCCTCTTAATTTATTTGATTTATACTGAGGATGACCACAACATGGACAATAAGACAACTTAAAATATTCATTGTAAAACAACATGCAATTATTCTCACATGCATGAATTTTTTTATAACTAAGCCTAAGTTCTTTTAAATGTGTCTTCATTCTATGGAAGTTTTCAGTAATACTTCATTCAATGGTTGTATCTCCTTCACTTGATGCAAAAGACGTTTTAAGCATGCCTCACTCATGTTAAACTCTAAGTTCAGATTTAGTAATTGAGACATAATTGATAGTTTTGTGTGCTTATCACATTCAACCTACAAAGCTACATCAACATCATTTAACAATGAAAAAAAGAATGCAACATTTAGATTTAGATCTTCAAGAAATACTAGTTCATTTTGGGTCCCATCATTGAATTGAAACTCTAGTCGTAAAGCATCCAAAATCATTTTGCTATATGAATTTTCTACTTTGACTTCATTAACTACTTCATTCTACTCATCAACAAAATGTCTTGATGATTGTCTGACACAGAATGATTCACCATGTGAATCCCATATTGTGTACACACTAGTAAACCTTTTACAAAATAGGTGTTCCTTGAACCTTTTTAGCAAATAAGAAGTTGTTATTCATACACCGAGAGTAAGGACATCTAATCTTATTCTTAGTCACATATATTGGTTGATTGAATGCTAATGAAATAAATTCATCTAGGCCATTCACAGCTTTTGTCCTAAAAAATCCACTCGAATCGCCTCGAGAATATATCTAATTCCTATCTCGTTCTATTTTGAGAAAAATATTATAATAGACATATGATGTTGTCCATTAGCAGATGGTAACACAAACATCAATCAAAAATAAAAACCAACTTAAATACTAAAATTATAAAAATTTTAATTGTTATCAACATACAATTCTATTAAAATCTTATTTAATTTAAATGAATTTAAAAATATATAATATTATTCAATTCATTTACCCTAAACCTTAATTAACTTAAAATATTTTAAAATTTACTAAAAATCTACTTATTTAATTAATTACTTAAATATTTAATTATAACACATTACATTACTTAATTGTATAATTTTTTTTTAATTAACTCAGTCATAGCTTAATTGATTTAAATATTTTTTAAATTAAATAATATTACAAATTTAATTAACTGCTTCAAATCATAAAATAATTTTTCATTTGATTAGTTTAATTCTTTAGTTAATTTAATAAAACCTAATTAATTAATTCAAACAATTTAAAAAAACCCTAAATTTACTAATTTAATTAATTGGTTAATTACTAATACATTATTCTTTATAATTATTTTGATTATGTGATTAATTCCCTAAACCCTAAATTAATTTAAATAAATAAGATATTATATAAATTTACTAATTTAAATAATTGCTTAATTACTTAATTATAACACATTACATTACTTAATTGAAAAAATATTTTTAATTGACTTATTAAAATCTTAATTAATTTAAATAGTTTTTAAATTAAATAATATTTCTAATTTAATTAAATGCTTTAAATAATAAAACATTTTTTCATTTGATTAGTTTAATTATTTAACTGATTTAATAAAATCTAATTAATTAACTCAAAGAACTTGAAAAAAACACTAATTTACTAGTTTAATTAATTGATTAATTACTAGTACATGATTCTTTATAATTATTTTAATTATGTAATTAATTCCGTAAACCCTAAATTAATATAAACAATAAGAAATTATATAAATTTGCTAATTTAAATGATTGCTTAATTAATTACTTATAAGATATTACATTACTTAATTATATAAATATTTTTAATTAACTAATTCAAACCTCAATTAATTTAAATATTTTTTAAATTAAATAATATCACTTATTGAATTAATTCCTTATTAACTAAAACATTTTTTTCATTTGATTAGTTAAATTCTTTAATTAATTTAATAAAACGTTAATTAATCTAAATAATTTTGAAAACCATATATATAGTAATTTAATTAATTGATTAATTACTAATACATGATTCTTTGTAATTACTTGAATTTACTGAAACCCTGAATTAGTTTAAATAAATTAGATATTATGTAAATTTATAATTTAATTAATTGCTTAATTAATTAATTAATTATAACACATTAGATTACTTAATTAACTTCAATATATATTTAACTCATTAACGCCTTAAATTAAATAATATTACTGATTAGAACATTTTTCTTTCATTTTATTAGTTATATTCTTTTATTAATTTAATAAAACCTTAATTTATTTAAATATTTCTAACCTAAAGCATAACCTCCTAACCTCTTAAATAGGATAAACCCATGAATTCCTTTTCATGGAAGCCTAGGTCATAATGATTAGTGGATTAAGATTCCTAATTAATTAGTAGGAATTAAATAAAATCTAGGCTAATAGCATTCCATGTTGTAAACACAAAAAATGATTATCATCAACACATAAAATGCGCTTAATTTGAATAGACAGATCAATCAAACATACTTCAGTTGAAAAATAAAATTTTATCAACAGCAAACATTATCAAACATTATTAAAGTAACATTATCAATTATCATCAACAACACTTAAATTTTTGCCCAAAACCCTAAACCCTAAACAACCAACTAATAAATCTCCAAAAACAATTTAAATAAAAACGGGAGAAAGCTTACCATACGGTATAGTTTTGCTGTTGACCAAAGCTTCAACCGGCGGAGGACCTCAAATGGTCAATGAAGGATGCAGGAGCAGACCTCAAGTCAAAGGGGCTGGGCTCTGTCGGACGAGAACCTTTAGGGAGAAATCAATCGCCTAATCAGCTAACCCTTTTGTCAGCGTTGGTTCTGTAAGCAATTGTTGACTAAAGGTATATTTAGTCTCACCATTAAAGCTACGCGTGGAAATTCTGTCGGTGGACCTAAAAGTAAGCTCGAAGGAGTTGCCAACGGAAATTCCATCAGCAATTTCACACCTTTGCTGATTGGCTGTTCCATCTGCGTCATTGGTTGACAAATTCAATGGTCATCTCCTTTACCAATGGAACATGTTGGTCGGTAGCCTTGGCGTGCCGTTCATTCATTTTACACTATCGTGTTGCCAACGGAACTCAGTTCGTTGGTAAATTACACTGATAAAGCTCTGTTTTTTTGTAATGTATATGTTCTCAATATTTGACACAGTCTTGGATGTTCTTTTCCTTTTTGATTTTATCAGGATATATAGTCTTGGGGTTAAGAAAGGGAGTTTACCTTTTCTTTAAAAGAAAAAAAATGATTTATGTATTTATATGTATCACATATTTAACGAACTGAATTTGAATCTTCTTATATTTTGACATAAAAAAAAAATTCATAAGAAAGATACATCAACTTTCGTCCTCTATGTAATTTTAAAAATTGAAGGTTTTAAGACTGAACAATTGACTTGAATTTTAAATAATATACTCTTTTCTTGGATTAAACAAGACCGAGACAACATGGAATCTTAATCAATATATTAGTTTTCTCATCCTATAGTTATAATACTTATTTTATTTTATTTTGGTGTAAAATAGGAAATCATTCAACAAATAGGTAAAAAATATACACGAGCTGTCCTTTTTTAGTTACTCTTAAAGAAATCAGTTAAATTACATGTTTCAAGTAGGTTTACCTTGGAAGATTTATATAATATTCATTTAAGTTGAAAATGATTTATTATTCTAATTCTTTCAAAATTTAATCTTTGGCATAACGATATTTAAGAAGGGTTGAATGCGAAATTTCTACTTAATTTGAACGATCTTTGTTAGTAAAGAAAAAAACATGACGCGGAACTGTGGCAGAAACTGCCGTCTCCATTCCTTACACCAGACTTTCTATCTTCACTGTATTTATTGGACTAGGGCCTCCGCCACTCAGCTCAGGAAAAAATTTTCCGTTGTTTATTTGAAATAATATCATTGCCTTATCGATCTGCTAACAAAGGTTATATGTCTTGATTTTATTCTTCCTTTCAATACATATATGTATAGTTATTTGTTTTCAATTGATAAATTTGGCCTACCATGTAAGGTCACCCCACCAATTTTCTTTATATATATATATATATATATATATATATTTGTACCTTGATTAAATCAATAAATTCTTTTTTTTTTTTAACAGAAAGGTTAGCAAGAATCAGCTAGATATGCCGACTCTGCTAAGAATAAATCACCAGAGTCACCCACATCAGCTGGAGCTGAAACGTAGCCAAGTCCCTTACTATTGCGATGGGTGTAAAGAGCCAGGGTTTGGACTGTGCTACCAATGCCCCAACAAAAACTGCAACTTCTTTCTAGACGAGGAATGTGGAATTAATCTTCCTTCCCATTCTCACCAACTTCTACAAAATTGTCATTTCAAATTTTACAAGGAAAATCCGCGACGACATCTTAGAATCTGTGACGCTTGTGGAAAAGTCATACAAGGGTTCCTCTACCAGTGCTCACATAAGCCTGGACATGACCTGCATCCTTGCTGTGCAAAGCTTCCATTAAGCTTCTCTGACAATGGGATGGAAATTTGCCTTCGTAATGAGGTCAACTCTAAATGCTTAAAATGCCAAAGTAAGGCAAAATTTAGTTGGTTTTATGTTTCAAAGTCTGGTGAGTATTGTTACCACGTTGCTTGCATGAAAGAAGCCTGGCTTGAGAATTGGAAAAAGGATTATTTTCAACTTGATGCTGCCAAGAATGGAAATCTTGTGTTGCAAAATTTGGCCCCGAAAGAGGTAGCTCCCAGAGATGGGCAAAGCTCGAAAGTGAAGAAGGGAATGAAGTGGTTGATCGTATTTCTCAACCTGGTCGTTTCAGCTATATTTGGAGATCCATTGTCTTTGATATCTAGCATGTTTCAATTTTATCAGAACTAGTTTTTAGTGTCTTAATAAGTTGTTTTAAACGTTTCTCCATTACCTTGCTTCATGTACTCCTGTTCTCATTAATAAAATCCGTGTCTTTCAAAATACTATAAGAAAAAGAAAAAAAATATTATAATGCTTGAAAAATTTTTTAAATTATTTAAAAAAATTCAAATAAATTCTTATTACTCTATTACAATTAATCAAGTCGCTGTATTTTTATTTTAAATCAAATAGGCTTTTATACATAGTGATGAACTAATCGTCATTAATCAAAATATTATTTCTCATTTTATATTCACTTGGTGCTAACATGAAGATGATGTGAAGAGTAAAAAATATTATATGACCATGTCATCATATCACATCAGTGTACCCCGTCATCAACTCTTATGATATATTAGCGTTACGAGTCATAAAATAACAAGTATTATTTTAATTAATAACAATTAATCAACTATAAGCCATAAGTGCTTATTCGACTTAAGGTAAAAGTATAAAAATTTGATTTAACATAATAAAAAAAAAAATTTTATTTAAAATTTTTAAAATAATTTTTAAGAATTTTTTTAGATATTATGGACAAAAATTATGTCACTCATAAGCTCTTATCATTCATAATTGTCTTATATCATCTTACTAAAAGTACAGTTTGCAAATACCACGTGATCGAGCATAATAAAAATTTTCAGACTTAAATCATACTATTCTTCTCTTTACTAATTTTTAAAGAACAACTCAATAATAATTTATGCCCAACAGTTCATGCAAATAATCAAATATATTTTAGATAGTTAAAATTTTACTGTTTTCTCTTTTTAATCATGACAATGTAGATACGCCTAGGTGGATTGTCCGTAATAACTTAGAAACTTATTTAATTCATCCAAAAATAAAAAATCTCAATCCATTATCTGGCATTTTAAAGTTTAAACAGCAACAGGCAATCGAAGGATTTTCCAAGAATGGTGGAAAATGTGACATTAACTAATTTAAAGGAAAGTACGTAGAAGTGGCATATACATTTCGCTCTTTCCTCTCTATCTGCAAATTTCTTTTATTAATTTTATTTGGTACAATTTTCTCAACATCTCAATTGTATTTGAATTAAAAAAAAAAAAGAAAGCACCCTCTTCTTTTAAATTATTGAGCAAAAACCAATTTAATAAATTTACGCATTATGCAAGCAGTACGCCTTATCCTTTTCTTTTCCATTTATTTAATCACATTAGCTACAGATTATAAATTCATGATACTAAATATCAAAATCTTTAAAAACAAAAAATGGTCAAGGACCTTGCATCTAGTTATTAAAGTAATAGAGTATTAGAATTTATTTTAAACAATATATAGACTTGGGATGCTGATAAACTTACTTTCAATATGTCTAATTTTGATATAGACCTAATTTTGTATCAATTTTATGATACATAATAAAGTGAATCCATCTCCATAATATAGGATAGATGGAAAATGATGCCTCGAATTAGGACAAGGCTGACAATATTGTGTTACAATCAAATTTCTTAAGCTTTCTTTTTTGGTTTTTTTTTTTGGATAAAAAAATTGGTAAATCTGCATCATACTATAGCACTTTCTTTTGGTAAATGAAAGGGAAAAGAAATTATAGTTTTCAATCCATATTTCATGTCCATGCATTGACTATATAATATAAGGGCGTGAGTGTTTACCATATTCTTTTGAGTACAAAGTTTACTTTTGTGATTTTTTTTTCTTAAAAAGGATAAGATTTTGGAAATTTATGATTTTTTTTTACCATCAAAGATTTTTGTTAATTAATATAGAATATGAATATTACGAAATTAAGCGTCATGCTAATAATTATTCCAAATCAAAAACCAAATCATGAGAAGTAAAAAAAAAAAAACACCTACCCCAAATTAATTATTTTTCTGTAGTCCTAACTTGGGTAAATCAATGAAACCTAAATTTTTTCTATTTTTAATAAGCCAGAGATTTATTTATAGTAAAGGATTTACATCCATTGTTCCCTTGTCTATTCAATTTATTAACGCTAAATATTACTCCTTCCACCTCATTTGTTTGTTTCTTTATCAACTTTTTTTTATCAAATAAACTCAATTTTGACCATCATTTTTAATAAAATTATAAAGTTATAAAATTTTCAGAAATAAGATTTGTAAATCTTGAATTTCAAACATTTCAGAATATTTTTCTTTAGAGATTTTAATTTTGTGAAATATTTTAAATAACAATAGTTAAAATTAAATTCATATGACCAAAGAAGTCAATCAATAGATAAACAAAATGGAACACAGGGAATAGGTGTCAACTTCCGCAGAAGCTTTGTCAACGTGGAATAATGTACAATAGTTTAGCGTGTAATACTACATAAACGCGTGCCTCAATCAATTCTTAAGAATAGAAAACATAGTCAAAATTATATATTTAAAATATATATGTTTTGTGTAAATTTATCTTAGCAGATAATATAGAATACTTTTACGATGACAATGAAATTAAGTGATAAATACCGTTACATCTCCTTATCAAAAATTAAATAAAAATATTTGTTACACCACCTCAATCACCCATCTTAATTCAAAAACTAATCTTGCTTCTATCCAACATTGAAGAGTTCCAACAGGGAAACTTCGGGTTAAATTCATGGAATATACGTTTTCCTTAACGGAAAAGAAAAAAACTGCCTTGCTGGATAAAATGAGAAGAAATGAATTTTAACAATGACAATTTCTTGGAATTGTTTTCTCAAGGTCGGTTTATTAGCAATATAAATAGGTCACTCTCGATCAATGGGTAATTCATCTTTCCACTATTCAATATCATAGGCTTCTTATTGGCGTACCTTTCGCTCCTTGATCTTCTCACACAGGTAAATATGTCTATCTTTTATTTGATTTCTTTGAAAAACATATCCCATATATAGTTGAATAATAAGTTACACAAATATCAATTCGAGTTTACAGTCATCTTCTAACCAATTATATACTCATTATGGCATTACATCTTCATTCAGCTCACAGCAGATAGACACTACAAACACCCTGTATGTTACGATCATTGTTAATGCCATCCTCCTTACAGACAATATGATTGTTAATGAAGGATATAATAATAATTAATTGTTTTCAATTGAGTTTGGCCTCAAATATTTTTATATAGACGGGTATAGTATTCGCACGACTTTCTTAAGTATAGGCAAGTTGTAGTATTTTCTATTTACCTAACCAAGGATGAAAATTTTATTTCTTTATTATAAGAAATTATTGTGTAACATTTACAAATAACATGTGTTTTGAAATGCAGGAAACGCGTGATTATTACTCTATTATTATCATTTTCTCTCCGGTAAAAAAATGAGATTCACAGAAACCGATCATTTTAGTCACCCACATCGGCTTCTACTGATATCGGCCGAAGTTCCTTTTCGATGCGATGGATGCAAAGAGCTTGGGTTTGGGTTGTGTTACCAGTGTCCCTACGAGGAGTGCAACTTCCATCTTCATAAAGAATGCGGAAATGCTCCACCTTCCACTTCCCATCCGTTTTTGAAGAGATGTAACTTCAAATTCTACAAGGAAACTCCCGGATGGCGTGCTAGGTTTTGCGACGCTTGTGGATTGGACATCAATGGCTTCTTGTACCAATGCTCCCACGAGCATGCACACGATTTACATCCATGTTGCGCTAAACTCCCCAAGAGCTTATCCAACAATGGGGAAAAAATCTACCTTAGTAACCAAGTTCGATCCAAATGCTTGAAATGCAAGAGGAAGGAAATTGCAAATGGAGTAAAGGGCTGGTCCTATGTTTCTTCATGTGGTAACTATTGTTATCATGTAGCATGTGTTAAGGAAGCGATCATAGAGAATTGGCAAAGTGGTTATTTTCAATTAGATGCTACCAATGAATTGCAAATTAGTGGTCCAAGTCAAGAGCTAGCAGGCCGAAGAGGAGGAAACTCAGGGTGGAGGAAGGCTAGAAAATTATGGCTCATTCTCAAGCTAGTGGTTTCGGCTATATTTGGTGATCCAGTCACCCTAATTTCTTCTTTGGTTCAAGCTTTGTTAGACTAAGTAATTGTTGTTGTGTAACTGCCCCATAAATTATTAGCAAATTTTTAAATTTCTTGTATTAGGGTTCCTCCTTTATCTAGTTTTATTCTCCTTGCAGACTGTTTTTCTCTTTGTATTGGCGTGTTTGAGCAGTTAGAAAATTGTATATTTTTTTCACTTGTGAGAGAGACTATTCTTAATTAAAAAACGTCCTCTGTTTATTTTTTTTTTTGTTTCCAATAGAAAGGGAAACAAGGTAGGCGTAGGTGATTCCCATTATTAATAATTGGGTTATTCTAACGTGCATGTCTCTTTAAGTTTTTATTTTTACAAAACTAATGTTGTTTTGGTTACTTCTTTGATGAGAGTACAAATCAATTACAAGTAAAAGATAAAGTATTACTACCAAAGAATGGCTCATTTATCATACCACTTTATAAAATCCTGAATTTTTTAAAATAATAATAATCTTGCAAATGATCCCTGAGGATACATATATTGGATCCAATTCCTTCATCACTTTTTAATTAATACATGAGTGTAGTTAATGGAATATTAACAATAAATAAATATATAGGAACCAAAGCCAATTAAATAACTTTAGTTCATCTTTATTAGCTTTTTTTTTTTAATTGGAAATTCTCATAGGACCCAGTTATCTTGTTAAAATTTTATTAAAATAAGAAAAATAAGTACATAAAGGAGGAGGACATAAACCTTACCTCCAGAATTACATAAGATATAAGAAAAAGAAGACCTATTGAAGGTACTACTTTCCTTACGCATTTACTATGAATGCATAGCATAAGTAATACTACTTTTTTAAATAAAACTATGAACAAAAAATAAATTAGGAGTACTACTCCCTTACAATTATTTGATTCTAACATAAGGTACGTTTAAATTATCTAGCCTAAGGATACCTCTTAATTCTCTTGCTTCAACTTGGAACACCCTTAGTCCATCATGCAAGTACCCTTGATTGGAAAGAAAGTCGACAGCTTGGTTCCCTTTACGGTGGATGTGAGTAATTCTAAACAAAAAATGCTTTAAAAGATTCCATATAGAGGCCAACAAATATCTGGTGTCATGGGAGCCTAAGTTGTCTTTCTGTATCATATTCACAAACTACCAATGCATCCATTTCAATTCATACTTTGTCAAAATTGCATTCTTGGCATAAAGGTAAACCTTTTTTAAAGCTAGAAATTTTGCATGCAAAGAATTCTGTGGGCCAAATTCTCATAGATTTATTTTTCATGTGGTTGTACGGATCGACCCTAAATCCTTAAAGGTCGATCGTTTTTAGTTTAAGAAGCTAATTTTGGGTTCTGACTTGCAAAGATCAACCTTTTAATCCTTAGAGGTTGATCCTTGTGACTTCAAAAACTTTTTCAAGGGTTCTATTGTGCAAGGTTTGAATCCCTTTGTTCCAAAAGCTAAACAAGAGCTAAAAAGCTTTTAAGGATCGACGTTTCATGCTTTGGTTTGCAAAAACACATTTCCTTTGTCCTCATATTCTTTCAGCAATCAATCTTACACTAATATAACTCAATATTAGGGGGAAATTTTTAACAAAATAGATGGGAAACTCATCCAATAATCACAATGATATTAAGGCTCATCCAAACACTTAAATTTAATCAATTTCACTTGATGAATAAAAGGTTGGGGTTTCACACACACACACACATAAGAGTCTATATGCACTACCTTGCACCAAATGTTTAGAACAAAAATATGTTTTAAAACAAACAAAGTAATATCCCATCTCATAGTCAAATCAAAAAGTATGAATACTTATTACATGTAATAAACATAGTGTAATAATTCTGTTAGATAAACAAATAGAGACAATATGGATAGTAAAGTACAACTCAAACAAAAAGGGTAATATCTACTAGACGCTTTATCAAAAGGTCAGAGGAACAAGCAAAAGGAAAGAATGTTTACATAAATACATATTTTGATAAAAATGTAAACATAGATCAAACCTCAAATCATTCGTAAGTTCATTTCAAATGCATCCAAAGTTGCACCCGAGCATTTGGCTTATTGGTTGGTGCATAATCCCCTTACTTAAAAAGTATGGTTCAAATCTGCCCTCCCCCAATTATTAAAAAAAATGCATTCAAAGTTAAAATCTAATTGTTTCAAATGAGTACAAAACCTTTCAGAAGTTTATTTCGACATAACGAAGTCCAATACATCTCAAAATCCTTTTAGAAGAGTGCAAATATCATAAATAAGCCTAAAGTATTGATACCGCATTCATGGGTATCGATACTTATCAAATAGAATGCTTTCTAAAGCTTTTTGAGTCCAAGATATCAATACTTATATCAAAAGTATTGATATTTTTTTCATAGAGAGCTTATTGACGTTCAATGTATTGATTTGATTATTATGCTTAGGTTGATTTTATACTTGTTTTATGCTCAATTCTTGTCTTGAGAGGAGCACTATAGATCGGGTATGCTTAACCCCCTTTTAAAGAAATTAAATCATAGTGTTTTAAGCAAAATTTCTTAGTGTTTAAGAATTAAGTATCAATACTCAATGCGGGAACTATCAATACTTAAAAGATAGAAAGCTCCAAGTAGAATCTTGCGTATAAGGTATCGATGCTTGTAGCACCAAGTATTAATACTTATGGGTTGAGTATCGATACTTAAACCCATGCCCAAAGTTTAAGTATCGATACCCAGGAGATGGAAACGTCCATAGCATAGTTTGAATGAAAGGTATCGAGACCTATAACTTAATTTCTCAAAAATTGTTCATCTTAGAATTAGTTCCACTTAGAATGATCCTAATATTTTCCCTATGGCTAAAAAAGGGACTTTAAGACTTTTGAATTGCTTTTAAATGGTTGGGATATGTGATTTTATATAGCATCAAAAGAAATGCATGGTTTAAAACTAAAGATATTGTGTTGTTAAAACAATCATGTGTTGGCTTGTTCCCTTCCCATGTCCATTTATTAAGTTATGCTTATGTTTTCAAAATTCATGTTTTGAATTTCATAGTTGTATCTAAGCAGATCATTTTTCTTGGAAAAGTTCTCTCTAAAGCTTTCAGTAGGTATAGGTGAAAAGCATCTGGTAAGAACCAAATTATCTTTTTGCCAAGAATTGCCTTTCTAAGTGATTAATTTGGAATGGTGGTGTTGGCATACACCGAGTTATAAATATTGTTTTTTAACTATGTTATTACAAAAATGATGAGTACATGGGGTGTGCATTGGAACGTTAATGTCGGATGTGTTAAATTGATAATGGAATATTGAGGAAATATATGGCTATGATAAAATATATATGTATAGATGCACATGTGCATGTATTTGCAAATATTTGAAATAAGTTCTCACATTATAAGAACATGAGATATGTTTCCGCCTAATCGTTCATGAGGCTTGCTTAAATCCAGTGGGCCTTGCCAACTTGGTCCTTACACTAGTCATGGCCCAAGATTAGGTCTTGACATTATTCTTCCAAATAAATTTACTACCCATCATTGGGACGATGCAGGAAACCTAGTTCTTTTATAAAATTTGCAAACTGCGCATTTCCAACCATAAACCCAACTATTTCACTCTTTTGTGCTTTTAATAGCATTTAAATCCCCCCATTGATATGCCACAAATTACCTTGATACCTATCAGAACTGTTGAGTGAAGGACTGGTCATGCATCAAATACAAATAGAATTACAACGAAAGAAAATAAACAAACAAAGTGCACTTTACCCTCCTAGAATCTCTTTCATTCCAAATTGAACACTAAAACAAGAACGAGGATATGACAATATGATCAAATCATATTACCTCAATAATAAAAGAAGCAGGATCCTTTGTTAAACCACCATAACAACCTTAAAAGATTCAACTAGCTTAGCTTAGTTATTGCAAACCAAAGCTGTCCAAAGAGTTCTTGTCCAACCTTTAACGGTGATCGACACTAATGAACTTGAAAAATCCTTCTTCAAGGATTGGGATTGCTATGTCTTGGCAATGTGCTAGCAAAAAAGAGTTTCATAAACTTAAATTCCAACGCTAAAAGATTTAAGGCCAAACACATTAAAAGTGAAAGAAAACATTTTTCTCTTAACAAGGGGTGTGGCTAGGGCAAAAGTGTTCGTAAGTTTGTAGGCTATTAAGATGAGCCTTGCAGCCAATTGTGATTGGCTAAGGCTTGATTCCAATCATGCAACAGTATCATTCATGTTGAATGATTAGAGGTTTTCCTTCATCAATGATACATCAATTATAGCGAGTTATAAGTTTGATTAGATGAAGTCCATGAGATTAATATGCCTTGCAAGGGAACTGTAATAGGTTGCAGTTATGAGATCTTTATGCATCAAAGCATAATCTCACAATTGTCTTGGTCAATGTATCATTGAGACTGGACATCAATGATGTTTAGAGACTAGTATATTTTATGGAGATTATGAAAAAGGTTTCATAACTCTTTGTAAAGCTAATGCTATAACTATAGGAACAAATATGGAGGTTAATAAGAGTTGGCACTATACCAAGCTCTTATCATCTTGGGGATAGATGATGAGGGAATGAATTATACTAATAGATTGTATACTGAAAGGTTATCAAAGAAACCTTTAACTCTTCTAACAATTGAGTGGCCATGATGCACTGCTAGATGCCAATCTTGGTCTATGGAATTGATTATAAATTAATTGATTGAAATTTATATTAATCAATTAAGTCATTAATTAATTCCATTGCCAACATATTGGGAACTTAATCGGTCACACACAATGACTGTATTTGAATTAAATTAAGAGAGTGATGATTTAAGTTAGACTTAAATCACAAGCTAGGTAATTAACTTCTATAAACTTAATTAAAAGAGTTTAATTAACTTTTAGACATAATTATAAATAGTTATAATTATAAGGCCTTGATTGCAAAATATAAAGGAAATTAATTTTGATTTTAATTTCTCAAGACTTAATTAAAAAAGTTTAATTAAGTAATGGGCCTAATATTATAATGTGTTATGATATTGAGAGCTTAATTACAAAATTGAAGTTATTTTAGCCTAACTATATAAGTCACCTTTTAACTATTTTCCATATGAGACTTTTTCACAGCTAAAGAAAACCTAGTTTTTGTTAGAAAAAGAAAAGTATTTTCTCTCTTTGCGATGGCTCCCTTTGTGTGAAAGAGAAAATTGCTTATG